TAGAGCTTTAATAAGTTATACTTACACACAATCTACTTGCAATCTTGAGTTTTAAGTAATATGCATCAATAAACAGTACTTTACGCATAAAAAGTGATTTTTAATAGTTTTTGTCAAATGCTTTATAATATAGTATAGATATATATCTCCAAGTATCGAAACTTTGAATAATCATGAAAGCAGCACTTGGTGGTAGTATAAGTTTTGGGCAACCAAACACCAATACGATTTACAAAATAATAAAAACAAGATCGTCAAGTAGTTATAGTTACAACATCTATCGATTGCCTTATTTTAACAATTGAAGTGTTAAAAAGGGTCTTTCATATATCAATAATTAATTATGATGCAAAATTAATTTTAGAGTTAAATAAAAGGCTCATATTCCACCAGGATAAATACAACCGTTGTAACCTGCAAAAAACCAAGTCAAAAATGATCACTATCAGAAATTTAGAGTCAATGGTGCAAATTGAAATAAGAATGTGTTGGTGGGACACATTTTTTGAGTGCAGAATCTAAATGGGAGCCACAAATTTAATAAAGTAAAAAACGATAATTGGACTTTTTTTTATGTATCTTCTTGACCTTGAAATTATATATATATATATATATATATATATATATATATATATATATATATATAGGGTTGGGTTCACGTGAGATCATGTTGTTTTCGTGAGACCCGTAAGACCAATTTATATTCATTGATCAACTTTATTAGTTAATGATCTAATGATCTAAATTGCACGATGACAATTTTGTGATTATTAAGAAGTCTCGTGGCGTTTATGAATGTTTAGATTGTCAGATTGTAGATCTAATTCAAGGGTTAAGAATTGGTCTTACGGGTCTCACGAAAAACTATTGGTCTCATATGATCCTAAGTCTATATATATATATGATCCTAAGTCTATATATATATATATATATATATATATATATATATTAATTTAAAGAGTAAATTATGTTTTTAGTGCTTATATTTCATTGAAAATTTCTACTTTCATTTATATGATTTTAAAATTAAGGTTTTCATTCCCATGATTTAGAATTCATCAATTTTATTGTTTTTTTTATCTTCGTGATTTATAATTCATTTTTATTTTAATACATCTTACTTAAAATTAGTGTTTTACCTCATGGACAAAAATAGAAATTAATTGCTAACCAAGAGGATGAAAACCACAAAGATGACATTTGCAATTTTTAACAAACTACAACGACTAAAAAGGGAGATCGGGAGAGGTCACAGATCTGTTGGGTTTTTTCAAGGGGAACATCAAAACGAAGCAAGGATCGAGAGAAGGTCACAATCTGTTGGGTTTTTTTCTTTCAAGGAGTAACAGTCACTCAAAATGATTAATTACTTTAAATGAAAACTTCACTTCCCTTTTTACATCCTAAATTCAATCCCAACGGAGGAAATTTTGAATTTAGAGGACAATAATGATTTTGGGTTTTTCCAAGGTTCAACGACAAACTAGAGAAGGTCACAGAACCAGGGTTTTGATTTTTAGATTTTAAGTTCTGATTTTGGGTTTTGATGATGGATTTGTATAACATCTTATTTTAGAGATCTTTCCGAATTCGGATGTATGTATGTATAGATTTTTTAGATTTCAAAGGTATAGCCTCTGTTTTTCAATCATTTCCTGGGTTTGATTTTAGGTTTTGCATCAATCTTTTTGTTGATTTAAGGTTTGATGTTCATAAATTTGTGTCTAAATCCATTTGAATATGGGTTCATACAACAAATTCGGGTTCTTGATTGTGAAAGATCAAGTAGGAATTGGGGAAGCCAATCATGAGTAAATTGACCGGTGTTGGGGCACATGAACAGGCTTAACGGCAACTTATTAACAGTGTTAAGCGGAGGGAGCATAGATGTTATAAAAATGAAAAGTTATGGATCACTAGTTTATAATAGTTTGTTTTAAGGATCAAATCTAAATATTGAACAAACCACAGGGACCACCGGTGTAATTCACTCAAAAGAAAACACAAGACGAAACAAACCTTACACGGTAAAATATCCAACACTAAATTTTTATGACATCCATTTGTAGAGTTATTTTTACAAAGGGCAAATTGCATGAAAAAGTAAAGTATTTTAACTTGATTCCTATTTTGGGTAACATACTTTCAAAACTTCTATTTTGGTACCTAAGATGTAAAGTTTTAAACATTTAAATAACTGGGTAACCACTTGAAGACTAAAATTAGATTAAAAAAAAGACTAATTTTATATTTAAAAAAATCCATGTCACTGACCACGTTAGCAAATAATACCGAGTTGGATATCACATCACTCGCCACATCAACATGATAATCGGTTAATACTTCAACCAGTTACCCGGGTACTTAAATGTTTAAAACTTTACATCTTAGGTACCAAAATGAAAGTTTTGAAAGTACGTTACCCAAAATAAGAATCAAGTTAAAGTACGTTACTTTTTCATGCAATTTGCCCTTTTACAAATTCAATGATTCGTATAAACTTACAAATAAATTGTTGTTTTATAAACATGTATGAAAATGCAATGTTTATACAATGTTGTCTCATATGTGAAATATTCTAACATTGTTTTTTTTCCACACACAAAGCAATCCTAAATGTCTCACATGTGAAAAACATTGTATTTTCATACGTGTTATTATATACTAGAAGGATACTCGCGCAATGTAGCGAGATACATATTGATTTTAATATTTCACTTTATTCTTTATATCAGTCGATGTTATAGTATGATCTTATGTGATTTTAAAAAAAGCGATTATATTTTTATTTTTGAATAAAATATAAATTTGAAGATATCATAAAATTTTAACAAAAATATATCGGTATTAGTATCAAATTAACTATTTAAAATTCATATTTTTTTGTCTAATTTTTTAATTCAA